TATAAATCAGAGACTGCAGAGGATCTAGACCCTTGGTTCAAACGGTCCCTGGTGCTTTCTTGCTCTCCTGCAGTGCCTGGTAAGTTCTTCATTCTTTGATAACCAGTTTGTTCTGTGAATGAATCACCAGCTCTCCAAAAGAGCAATGTGAAAGCACAGGGTTACATGAGAACTTCTTCTAGCTTAGGGACTTCAGGGGTCTCCTTTCAGTCCTTGTCCCTTTATCTTTGCTGTTCTCCACTGCAACAGCACCGTTGCAGGGCAGGCAGTGCCATATTAATACCACACGTGGGCTCTTGTATGCTGTGATCTGTACTTGACGTGCAGGGGTAGGAGTGACTGGCATAGGGTTGCTTGGAAAGCCTATAGTAGAACTGAGAATTGTAATATTGGGTCATTTTCTCACTTTTTTGTACGTTTGAAAAATGTTGTAGAAATTGTACGTAGAAAATTGTCTAACAGCAGTTAGAGGAAACCTACTGCTTTACAGTAGTTAAATTTCAGAAATTTAGTTCTGCATCTAAGCCCTTGTGACCCTTCTGTATGTATGTGCTTTTTTTTTATTTAGCTTTCTGCCTGAAACGCCTGAGATGTGAGTTTGGTAAGGAAAGCAAATGAGCTGCTCTTTCGAAAACACTACAGTCCTAGGGAGGGCTTTTAAAACCATTGACTTCTCATGCTTTGTAGCCTTTTTAATAGCTTGAAAGTGTATGGCACAGATCCACACAGTAGAAATCACCTATCATATATTGTAGAGTTGCTGCATGCAAGGCTCTGAGGTCGGGGTCCCCGAGAATGTAGGACTAAGCAGAAAACAGCCAGGGGGTGCCAGTAATGCACTTTTATACATTGGGAATGGCAGCATGAATGTGTAAGTTTGTGTATGTAACTAAATTGCCCAAGTTTTCACAAGAAATCTGTAACGGAGGCAGAGATTTACTGTCCAGAATGCTAGTCCAGCAAATTAGCTACGAGTACTGCCTTTCCCTTCTGAATTACTTCAAAAGGTTTCTCTTTTGAAACAAACAGTAATTCATGGAAATGTTCTCCCACGCATTCTGGGAGAATAGAAGATCAGTCAAGTCTTTCTGTGTGGTTGCAAGTACGGAGCTGTGCTCTAGGAAAGTAAATAATCTGCTAGCAGATGATTTAGTGAACTTAAACTATAAGAAAATATTTATGTTTTATGTTACAGAAAGGAACAAAAGCAGATGGAAAGTTACTGAACGTGTTTCAAAATTGTATGGTAAACCATTTCAGACCTATTTCTACTTCTCTGAGTCAATGGTTTTTGTCATGATGGTTCCCGTTACAGCTTCCAACACAACTGCTGTAGAAGCCTCAGCAGTTAGCTGCCTCGTCTCCGTAGACATCTCTGTAATTTCTGTCCCTAACCACTTTTGGAGTAGCCCAGGCTAAAAATTCAGAGCGGAACAAGGAATTTCACTGTGAAATAAGATTAATGTAATCAATTACGTTTTGTACACAGGTCTGGAAGTGTCAGAAATCATTGGACTGAGATTTACTCTTTTGTGGAAAGTCTAGCAGAGAAGTTCATAAGGTAAAGTTTTCTTAAGATGGTATTTTAATTTGCTATATGTGTAATTTTTTTTTTTATTCAATGTTTCTTAGCAAATGAAAATCTGCTCAAGTAATGTGTGGATGTGACATGGATCTGGCTTGTTCTTTTGTTTCAGTCCAATGTTGCGGATGTCTTTCATCGTGTTTTCTTCACGAGGCACTACAATCATGAAACTAACAGAAAACAGGCAAGTAGTCCCCACAGCTTTCATCCAGAAATATGCTCCATCCCTCCTGTCAAGCAGTGAGTGGCCCCAAAACCAGAATTCAGAGGTCTGTCTCAGTCCTTGGTGTGGCACCAACTCAGGCACCAAATGAAATCCATTCCACCATTCCCAATGGGAAGAGGGCTTCTGTGGCCTTTGTGTCTCCCATTACTATTTTGTTTTCAGCCTTATAAGAGAAAGTCAGCACTGCGCTGCCTGTTCTTTATCACAGTATTTTGGGGAGAAAATGCATTTCCAGTTGAGAATTCACGTACATCCTTGCTATCCCCAGCTACCTAAATAAGGGCATTTTTTTGTGTAAGAAATCTCAGACTGAGCTGATGAGCAAAAGACTGTATGAAAGTCCCACAGTGCCCTTTAAAGTCACTCAAAGCCCCGAGCTTTATGCCAACAGCTGGTTGTACCCAGTGCTGGAGCACTACCTCACCAGGCTGTGGCACCCCTCTCCTGGGCTGCCTTCAGACGGCACCTGTGCCAGAGGTGGTTTGCACAGCCAAGTGACAAGCCTCTTGAGAAAAAGAGTGTCTGAGGCTGGAGGAAAATTCTTGTTACCACTTTTACAACCAAATCCTCTTTGCAAAAACCAAACCAAAACAAAAACCCAAACAAAAAACCCCCACAGCCCCCCCCCCCCCACCAACAACCTCCCCAAACAAAAAAAAACCCGAACAAAAAACCAAAATCAACAACAAAAACCCACCACAAAAACAACCAACCAAAACCAACAACAACAAACCCCAAAACTCACCCCAAAAAACCCACCCCAAAAAAACAAAACAAAAGACCAAAATTATTTTGGATTTAATTCACCTCACACATGGAAATCCCCATCATTGAGGTGTGTTTCTAAATGTTTTCCTTCATTTCAGCTTAATGCCCTTTTGCTACTGCTTCTGACTGAGAGCCTCAGTAGTACAGTGCACCCTATAAATACAGGAGACTCTGGACCAGTCTTGAAAGAAAAACCCCCCTCTCCATTTTGTACTCCAGGGCCTCATCCAAAGCCTGAAACCCACAGGAGCCTTGCATTTCTGCTGGCTCCACTCAGTTTTGGCTCAAGTCTCCATCTTGTACCTTGGTATCAGAGCTCAAACTTGCTTACTTCTCCCAAGTGGATTTGTTCTTTGCAAGGTGGAAAGTAGACAGGAGCCCTGTGGCAATATGTTGAATGTGGTATTAGAACGTTCCTTCTCATAAACTCTTGTTCTCTGCATGGATCACCATGTCTGCTTTTTCAGCTCATTTTATACTTTGAAAGAGTAAAAATGTGCTTTTTGCCCTAAGGACATCCCCAATCCCAGCTCCTGATTTTACCTTCATCCCACATAGGCTCCTGTTTCCTCTGTAACTGGGGCTGTGCTGCCTAAAATACCGTGTTGAGAAATGGAGCTTAAAGAGGCTCTCGCTATCCTTTAAAAAAAAAAAAAAAAAAAAAAGAAAAACAAAAGGATGCCCCATAGCATCTGGAGGCTAATGTTTGGGCTGCCTACATCTTGCCTGTTGAATGTTTCTGCCTTATTTGTGTTCCATTAATATATTGAAAACTTTGCAAAGGATCAGGATCTGTTAGTGATCAGTGATCACTAAAAATTATTAATTATTGTCAGAGTTTAATACCTAGCATTTGCTTTAATTCAATCTTATCCTGACTGACAGTATACCAGAATGAGGGAGCAGGGACAGAATTGCATCCTTAAAATGTGTTAACCCTAACATTGTATCACGTGTTTGGTTTTGTGCTTCCATGGGTGTTTGACAATTTTTTTTTTTTTAAATCTTGGATTTACCAGTGATTTAGCTGATATGCCATGTATTGCCAGAGTGCATAATCTAGCTGTGGTACAGGAATATCTCAACAAAACAAACAAAAAAAACTTTTATTAAAATTTTCTCCTGTTCTTTTTTTTTGTTTGTTTGTTTTTATCCAAAGGGAAGCCATAAGACGAGGACTCGACATTCTTCAGTATGAAGTGCCTGGAGGAGACACATTCATGCATGAAGGATTTAAAAGGGTACACATCACAGTACCTCCTTTCTTTGATTTATACATATAAACTTTGCTTTGTTTGCTGCCACTGTACTTAAGAGCTAACAATGTTCTATGCTGTGTTGCAGGCAAATGAGCAGATTTACCAAGAAACCTATGGAGGTAGGCATTGTATATCATTCACGTTATATATCTGCATTGAAAAGACAGGGATGATAGGACTTTATATGACCTACAGTAAACCCGCTGAGAGAAGTGTTGGAGAAGGAATTGGTGTTACACAATCACTACATTCCATTTTGACTACAGCCCTTCAAATGCGTGATTCATGGTTTATTAAGACCAGAGGAGACCAGTATGATCACGGATCTGACCCAGTGCAGAATACAGACCGAAGCATTACAGCCAGAACTGCCTGTCCTGCACCCAGGGGACAGGAATACCCTGATTTTCCTGTGCCCTTCTATCCCAATGCACTCAGCCCTGACTTGTCCTTGTTCTCGTTAGTGTAGGTATAAATGCAATCAGCTGAGATTTTTTTGCATCAGTGTGAATGTTTTGGGATAAGATTCTGAGTTCCTAAAATGTAAGCTTTTGCTAAATTTCAAGAGGGAAATGTTCTTTGTGGTTTTTTGGTCTGTGCCAAAAGAAGGCCTAATTAGTGAAATGGAATACTTCAAGCTCACACCAGGGTACAAACCAGGCAAGTTCTCCTTTGTGGGCTGCTGGTATCTTTGGAAGATGGAGAAATGGGTCAGTGCCTTTTTAACAAAATAGGCTGTGAGTGTAGAGTCTTTAGCAGTAACTCTGTGTGGCTTCTCAGGCACTTCTGCCAGTGAAATCAGGACTCCTGAGGACTCCAGCTGAAAACTATTTTACCTCTTCATAACATTTAACTAGGAACTATAATCAACTATTCTCTAAGTTGATTTGAAAGGAGAAAGGAGTAGATGAAATCTGGATTTAGAAGCTAAAATATCAGGGAAGAAACAAGTGTTCAAAAGAAAACAAAATAAGATCGCCAATTTTTCAGCCTTTTTTCAAGCATACTGGGCAGAAAAAAAATGAGGAATACAGGAATCCAAGCTATTCCCCCTCCTTCTCCCCTCCCCCCTCCAGTTGCAGGTCACTTTTTAAAGATTTATGTCTGTGTCTGACGTGACATGGGAAGAACGACTGCATGGCATAAGAAACCTGTCAGAACTAATCAGTCTTTAATTTTAGACAGTATGGGGAAAGACACTTGAAATTGTAACAGATTATTTTGAAAAAATAACAAATACTTCCCTGAAAGTAACCTATATGCGTATTAGTTACTTTGCTTAAGGACTATTGAAACAGAATGCCTGATCGAACCATAGTTTGCATATTAATTTGGTTTAATTTTGATAACATGTTGTATTTCTCTAGGTAGTATTCTATACTGCATTACATATACAACTATCCAAAGTCTATGCAACCTTTTCATTTAAGCTTAGGAATATGAAATGTCTTGTCACAAGACATAAATTTTCTCCAGTGGACCTGATCTTGAGATTTTCACACATTCAGAATTCCTATGAACTTCACTGACAGCTCTTGTTGCTCAAGAAGTGTAGGACTGAACCCCTCTACAGAAGCACATTTCATGCCATGGTCAGTGGGGTTGCTCCTTGGAAGTCTGCTGGAGGAGAAGGTAGGATGGCAGGAAAGCTCCCTTTGCAGAGGTATCTCCTACCACAAGCTCTGGTCAAGGTTTGTGTAGAGACATGTTTGTCAAGGGAAGAGAGGAAACCTCTCTCTGTGTGGAGAAGTGGCACAATGGATCCACAGAAAGGCTCTAGATGTAATCTCAGTGGGTGCTATATTTGTTTCAGAACAGAGAAGTTTGTGCATGGACCTTGGTAGAGCAGTACTCCCCCTTCGGTAATGCTTGTGATATGAAGATGCACAGGTTTTAGCTTATGGCATGCTATTAGGCATCTGACCTTCAGCTGGTGTATCTCCAATAAAGTCCATACAAACCAGGCTGAGAGTCTGGCCTTACAGTTTTGTGTTTATTTGTCAGCAAAAAAGGAATGCCTCACTTCAAACTTCCCTTTCATTGCTGAATTTTGTCATACGTACACACTCTGTTAACTTTCCTCCATGTAGGAGTTCGGACCGCTAGCGTGATTATTGCTCTGACGGATGGAGAATTGCAAGATGTTCAGTTTTATTATGCAGAACAAGAAGTAAGTCACCTTCACGTTTACCCAAAGTAGCTTATGTCAAACCTGTAGGCATTTACTGCTGGCCTCACTGATATATTATATGGCTTTGTGCTTAATGGCAAATTTTTTTTTTTAGGCCAACAGGGCCAGAAGCTTTGGAGCTATTGTTTATTGTGTTGGAGTGAAAGATTTCAATGAAACTCAGGTAACTTTGCTTGCTTGCTTCTTGTTTTGTTTTTCTGTTATACTAGTGCACAAGTAACAGCATCAGATGAAGGCATTTATTTAATTACTTGAGGCATAAATCATTTTGTGTCAGTGTGATGTCTTTCAGCAAGTATGAAAGGGTCCAGTTTTATTCGCTGTAATTTTGTTTTCCTCATGATTTATGACTGTCTTTCTTTGCAGCTGTCAACAATTGCTGACAGCATCGATCATGTTTTTCCAGTTACGGGAGGCTTTTATGCCCTGAGAGGAACCATTGATTCAGTAAGTTGGGTATTCTGAAACCCAGAAAAGGGCACCATTTTCTGTATTAATAAAGCATAGATAAAAATGATTCCCAAAAATTGCCATTTTCTAAATCTTTTAGATACTCAAGAAATCTTGCATTGAGATCCTAGCAGCTGAACCATCAAGTGTTTGTGCAGGAGGTAAGTTTCCACAAGAACAATGTGATAAGGCAAATGAATGACAATGATGAAATGTCAGTAACTACCTAATGTGGTATTGGAGCTGAAGCCCATGGATGTGTTAGAGCATCCCCTCGGGCCACAGCTAAAGCCCTGTGTGTTCCTTCTCACTTGAGGGGAAAAAAAATTGTGCCAATAAACACATAGCTGCTGCTGCTGAACGCCAGCTTGGAGAGTTGACTGAGGTGGCACTCAGGGAACTGGGGATACTGCTTTTTAAAATATCTGAGAGAAGGAGGAGACAGAAGTGATGCAAAGCCAGACTGCCAGAGGGCCTTTAGGGTCTGGAGGTGACGTCTCACAAATTTCTGGAAAGGCTGTGTTCCTGGGATCTGCTAGGACTTGTCACAGTTAGAATAAGACTTTGCAAAACATTCACAGAAATTTCAGATTTATTGAACCAGATATAATTAACTGCATAGGCCAAGGTACCTGATGCCTTTTCCAAAGTACTAATGTTTTACTTTGCAATGAAAGAACCATTAGTGTATATGGTAACCGTGAAGAATCCCCAGAGGAGCTGTTGATAATTTCATGCCTTTCATGTCTAGTATATTTAACTTGGATTTGTTCTGGTTTACGTTAGCAATTCATTTGCTGTGTTTTTGTCTACTTAAGAGGCTATTGCAGCAGAGTAAGAGTGACACCATAAGTTTGCTGGAAGGTACAGTTTACAACATGGTTATTTAGATCTGATGTTTACTGTCTTGTGTTCATTTCCTTATACACTGTAAAAATGAGCACATGAAAATAAAATAGCAATGATGCATGAAAGCTGACCTTGAAAGCAGATAAAAATAGGAGACTTGGTAAGAATCTAATAAATATCACAGAGAAGAGAAATTGTTCACTCTTCATTTCCACATGTCGATCACAATATGATCTTGCCCTGAGTATTTCAATTTAAAATGAAATATCCTTGTATCTTTTGAACTATTCCTAAATCTATAATTGTAGACTAGATGTTTGTGATAAAATCTTGTCTGTGGAAAAATTAAAAAAGGAAAGATTTTGCTTTTAAAAATCTCCTTGTGAAGTTGATTGAAATTAAAAAATAAATTAAAGCTTTGACATGACAAAGCTTTAATTTTTTTAAGTGATAAATTCTTTTTTTCCTTGCTTATTGTATACCAGGCAATTTTTTTGTGCAACAGCTTATTGCAAACTTTCCTGTTCACCAAAATTTGCATTTAGCCACATGAAAATGTGAGTGTTCCAACAGAGGGATTTCAGTAGTATTCTTGTAATTGTTTGGAACAATGTTTAAGAATATTGGAAAGTAGAATTTGAAACAATTTTTAAATGGTAATTTGAAAATATTTTTCTACACTATTTGAGAAAATACATTTTCAAGAAAAGGTTTACTTTTCACTGAAATATATCCATTTTTGAAAAGTAACATTTCTCTTTTTTCAAAAGGAATCGGATTGATTCCTGATTCACGAGTTCAAACTACTTCATTTTTTGCCAAGCTTGCTAGGTAACTAGTTTATCACACCTGTGATTAAAGATACACAAGTACACTTGTACACTAGCATTTATTATGAGTCAAGTCCTGCAAGCCTTATCGAAAATGAACTCCTGCAAGAGGTTTTAGAGTGTGAGGCTGCAAATATTTACACTTGTGCTTGGCTTTATTATGCTGTATTATCCCACTTACTTCAACATAGCCAGAGGTTCATCTTTATAGCTGTGTGCACCACTGTCTGCTGGAGGGAATCTGCTGGGATTGAACAACTTTTTTCATGGTAGTGTGAATCCACATCCTGAATCCAGTTCACTGGACAGTCAGACATAGTTCTACTGTATAAGTAATGTGATTTATATTTTAATGTACTTTATTTGGACTTTAGTGCAAAACATACTGAAGCCTATGAAGTCACTCAGAATTTTAATGTATTTTAAATGTAGGTGATTACTAATATAGTTTACTGATAATGCATAGGTAAGATATATAGCCATTGAATCCTCTATAAAAACTATGTACATCTGCATTTAGAACTGGCTGAAAAATAGAACATAAGATTTTCTAGAAATGTGACATTCCTCCTTTTTTCTAAGTTAGTAATTTTGTTATTTAAAAAAATACGTAATTGAAACTTGTGTTTCAAAATTTTGACCAAAAAATAGTAGATCTTTGAAGAAGTGCAATATATTATCACATTTTCCAGCAAAGAAGCTTGCTTGTTTACAGCTTTGAAATGTGTCTCTGCCCATGCCTTTTTGTATGAAACTTATCTGAGTGAGGAGGTGATAATCAGTTTGGCTTTTATTTAGCATTATTACTAGTTTTTAGAATCTGGCATGAGATCATGAGGGCTTTGTGTTGCTCAGCAGAAGCCAGTCATGATCAGGGCTTAGAGCAGACTGTCCCACTCCTTGTAACTGTTCTTGCAACTTATAATTAGCACTGTGGTGATTACTGGTGATCTCGGCTTCATCTTTGACTTGCCAGAGGTTTAGTAAAATGCTGAGGAAACGATTTCCATGTGGTGACAATTCCAGTTGGGACTCTGGCTCTCTGTGACGAAGCTATCTGGCAAGTCCATTTACAAATTGATCTCGTCATGTTGTGACAGCTATCTGATGCTTAATGCTTTTTGACCCTGCAAATTCATCGTCCCCAATGTGGAGCAGTGTAGTTGGGTCCTTCCTGTTCCTTCTGATTTAAAGTGACCAAGACGTGCAGCCTGTAAACAGGCTATCAGTGCAGAATTGGAGGTGCCTCGTATCCTGTTTGACAGCATCATTGCTTTGATTATTCTTACGGTACGCAGATGTGATTGAAAGGTTTTGTTGGATGTGGCATCCTACTGGCCACATCAACTACCAGGTGTGGATGCAAGCCGTCAGCTTCTCATCAGAGTCACAGAAGCGAAGCCGACAGCGCAGCCAGCGCACACCAGCTTCAACCTACCATCTCGCTGCCAGCGCTGCCCGGTTATTTCAGTGCTGACCTTTTTCCCTTCGCTGTCTTGTCAAAAGCTACAATCTATGATCTGACAGTAACTAAGGAAGAAAAGGACGCAGCCAGAGCCAGGGCGCAAAATTAAATGGAATTAGCCATTTCAACAGACCATCATCCAGAACATATTAATGCTCTGGAGCATCCGAACGGGCAGGCTTCTTAATGGCAACAACCAAATCCAGTACCAGTTGTTTACATTTGCATGCAAGTCTGGTATTGAAACTATTTTGTCAGCTTGTGTTGGTGCACAGGTTACCACCCAGTCAGTTGTTCACGACTGACTGTGCAGAGTGGCACTGACGGTGAAAAGCAGGGCAGGAGAGGTAAACTGTCTTGACAAGACTAAACTTCTGCATGTAGCTTTTACCTTCAGTGTTTTGTATTGAAAGTCTTACTTGCTGCATCTTTTTAAAGCCACTGAAATAGCTATCAATTAAGCCTTTATGGTTGCTGTCTTTTAAGACCATTATTTCAGGGGGAGAGGGGGAAATCTAAGTGCAATTGTATTTCAGCAAGCTGCTTTTATATTATAGAACTTGAGAGAGGGGAAAAAAAGAAGGTATCTTACCTGGGTGTTCAGGTCAGTGTGGAGTGGGCTGGCTACAAGGAAGTCTGGGGTACTGCGTGGTCCCAGGCAGGTAGTTCTGGCAGGTGGGCAGAGGCCCTGTTGCCCTTGGGGCTGGGCATGACTCTTGGCTCTGCTGGCAAAGGAGGGATGCTCTCAGCATTTCAGCTGGCTTAGATGTGGAATGGCTCAAGGCATGAATAAGACTTAGAGTAACTCGAGATTCTTACTGGAGTAAGAAGCAGCTGAATCTGCCCTACAGTCCATTTTTATTTGTTTAAAGTGCCCTCCAACCCCAGTGCAACCAGGAGGTATAAGCCTTCCCTTAAAAATGAGGCCAAATTCTGATGCTGGCTTTGTGCATTTGGCTCTTGATGTGCTCAGTGAGGTCTCAGATTTGATCATCTTTTTTCAGCAAAGTGACAAAGCGTGTGTTTCACTTTAATACACATGCCAGTAGGTATTTCCCCTTCCCCCCACCCCTGCCCCAAAATATCTTCTCTGATTCTTGTGCAGCCTGTGCCAGTTCAGAGCACTGCTCTAAAGGAAAGTTACATGAGGAAAACCAGAGTGTGGGTTTCCAGTGCTTGATTACAACTTGTCCATGCCCTTGTCCAATTCACCCAGCGTTGCAGTAGACCTCAGTGTTGTGAGAATGTGTTTTTAGCAAGAACAAGCTGCTTGTATGGAAAAGTTAAAGCACTCCACATCCTCATACTAGCTTGCCTTGCAGTAACTTGATAGTGAAGACCGGGCAGACTAAGCTGAATATGTATTTCAGCCACCTTTGGGCCTCATGTATGTTATCCAATGACAAGTTGTTCTTCAAAGCATACAAGTTACATGGCAGTGCATCATATGAAATGTTATCAAAAGCCAGATCTCATATCACTAAAAATTGGATAGTGCTTCCCTCAGTCCTATCAACACTGTCTTCCTCTCATTTTTAGTATGTTAGTCACAGTATAATTGATAACGCATGTGGACTTGTTCATGGTTTTACTTGCTGCTAGTGGAGAACTTCTATGCAGTTTATTCTTTTCTGTGTAGCTTGAAAATTAATTGGTCCTATGTTGTGCTGGTATTCCGCTGGTATTGGGCTGGTTTCAAATGCTGCTCAGCAACTAGTATAAGTGAGCTCTGTGGAGGTTTCAGCTAAAGCAGGAGATTTATGTGTGAAAGTGCTATTTCTGCACTTTCTTGTGCTGTGGGTCTCAGCTGTCAGCTGGCTTCTTGCATGTAGTGTCAAAGGAATTTTCAAAAATCCATTTGGCATAGGACAAACTTGAAAAATCTTTCCACCTGCTTGCATTAAAGCTGTTATCTCTATGGTCAGTGTAGCAGCTATAATGCATTTTGTGACCTTGAGGGGAGGTTTTCCTTACCGCTTTCCCTCCTGGTGCATCTTGTGTCTAGCTTGGGAATTTGGGCTGGCCCCAAGAGGAAGAAGATTGTGGTTTCATGTCAGGCTCCACCTGTGTAAAGTAAAAGGGAAGGAAGAGCAGCAAACAGTTGTGTTGTGCTGTTATCAGAGCTCTGAGAAGTGTTACCTGTATATGTTACTAAGAAATAATTTTAAAAGCTTGCTGTGGAGAAGCTGAGAAAGCAAACCAGGCTTCTTAATACCTTCTACCTCAAATTAACTTGCCTGTTTCCAGCAGTCCTGGGTACACTCACTCGAGGCGGTTTCATGATAGACATAAACTCACTTGATGCTACCACCACTTGTCTCTGTTCCTTCCCTTCTCCTGCACATTTCTGGTCCCAGCAGATGCTCAGCCAGGCAGATCACCTTTCTGATCTCTCTGGCAACAAACAGAGGGTTATTTTTCAGGTGTGTGAGCAAGCTCAGTGCACTGCAACATGATCAGCGATGCCAACAGTGGAGGGCGTGTGCAGCTGTGATCTCACTTCTGACAGCAGCTTTCCTAGGTTGGCTTTACTGAGATGTTAAACTGTTCTATCAGTAAAAAGACCACTGAAAGGTTGGCTGAAAAAACTGACAATGCTTTTGCTGTTTGGATGAACAAATCACAGTTGCTTATCACAGTAATGATGAAAATCACAGGTGCCCTCCCCATCAAGATTGAAACAACAGAAGTTGAGAAGAGCTGAAGGGCAGGTTAGGAGTACTTGCTCTGGCCAGCGGACAGTGTGTCTGATGTGGCATGCCTCTTGTGCCACTGGTGGTTGCTGCTGGGGTAGGGGTGTGGGGGAAGAGCTCAAAGAAAATTGCAGTACCTGGGTCTTTAGTTATTCCCATGTGCAGCAGATGCTAATGGGGCTGTGCACAGGCTCAGTTCTTGTATGAACTGAAAGATTGTGTTTTTCCAGGACTTGTACCAATTGCAAAGCTTCCCCTCTGATTCACAGGAGGGTGTGAGGGGACTCCTGTGTGTCTGCATCTGCCTGAACAGAGCTGCTGCTGAAAGCCAAGGGCAATCTGCTGTAGAGATAGAAGGGAGGAGTCGTGCTTATGGTTAGCAAAGGTGTCTTGCCCAAAAGCCATGGAGGAACCATGAGATGACAGCAGCCATGTCAGGCTCACAGTATTACTGTGGCATCTTTAATTAAGGCACTGGCTGTCAGTGGGATGCTTGTGGAAGCAACCTTGAGACAAATGTTGCCCTGTGAAGTACCGGTGCCACTATAGCACTCCTGACCATTGCTGCTGAGTATTGAGAGTGTCAGTGCGAATGTTTTGTTTTGGGCATAGGGCAGAGAACAGCCATTGTCATGTTGTAATTGAGCAATTTTTGATTAATCCTTTATTTCTTACTTACAGAATCATTTCAAGTTGTGGTAAGAGGCAATGGCTTTTATCATGCAAGAAATATCGACCAGGTACTCTGCAGCTTCAAGCTCAACGACAGCCTTACTATCAGTAAGTTTACAGAGTGATGGATTCCAGTGCCCCCTGTGGCTGACAGAGGTGACACAGCCCACCTCTCGTCCACATTAAGGGAGTCCTTGCAGTGGATGTGGGGGGAACTGACTAGGGATCTACACCTCACAGAAGCTTGAAATACATTTTTAGTCAATCCTGTGACCTGTGGGCATTGTGTCAAGAGGGCTTATGTGGGCTGTGCTGCTGCACAGTGAATTTCAGCATCATTGTAATGGTGCACGTGGGTGATGCATACAGCCAGTGAGGACTGGGTATCAGGTTTTAAGAGGGAGAAATTAAATTACTTCCTATTCCTTTGTTCATCACCAGTTAAAAGTAATAATGCTATCTTGATTCCCTGATGGTGTCTTCAGACTCTTTATTCACTAATTCCTGAGACACTCACCATAAAGCAGGGCCTCTCAGGCCCGCTCCATTCCTCTCTGACGCCAGTCGCTGGTCTCATCGCGGAGAGCATGTAATGCGGAAACTCCCTGTCATCACTGTGCTAAACAGGGTCTTTTGTTTGCTGTCTCAGCAGCCAAGCAAAGGACTGAATGGTCAAAAAAGATTGAGTGTCCAGTTTCTCAGCAGTCCTCTCCTCTTCCCGAGAAGCAGTGTATGTCTGGCAGGGTAAAGCACAGCGTGGGGAGGGGAGCTGTGCTCCTTTTCTGTATATGCTACCCTTGTTAGCAGAGCACAGTAGAGGCTTTCATATCCTGTTGCGGTCAGACTGGTGCCTTCCCTAGCGGTGAATTCACTTACAAGAGGGAGCGCATGAATTGCTCCTTCATTTACCATCCTGGTTGCCTACGTGGAGGCTGCATTAAATAAACTCTGGTGGTCTCACTCTTATTCCCCTTACAGAAGCCCTTTGCCAGGGATTTGTTTCTTGTGGATTACCGAGTAGACAGACTTTTGGTTTTTTCTTCCTTGTCCCTAATGTGCTGGTACCTTAACTGGACTTCACTTAGTGAATGCTGACCCAGGCCTGGAAGTACACAGGAGGAAAACTATCCTAATTCCACATCTCCTCTGTGCTGCGTTCTCCTTGGGTTAGGTCTGCAACAGATGTTGTGATGAGACATTGATCTATGCTGGCTGGCTTTTTTCCCCTCAGCCTGGCCCTAAAACATATCACTGATTTCCGTGGTCTCATCTCTGTCAAAACAGGAAAATGACCTTTGTCTTCAGGTGTGTTTGGGGTGGGTGAAGCATGAAAGAACAACTCTTTATATTTGTTGTTGTTAGTTATTTTTCCGAAGTAGAAAAAGTAACTAAGCCTCTAAGCTTTAAATAAGCTGGCAATTTTAACCAGCCCCTAATTCATTGGGTTGGACATTTGTGGACCAGTCTTTCTCTGGACTAGCACCTTAGCTGCTTTGGGCTATTCAGAGCTAAGGTCCAGTCACAGCTGGACTTGTCTGCTCTTGTGCCTCAGCTTACACACCTTTAGTGGAGTGGCATTGCAGGATTACTGCTGGGTGTCCTCTCTGTGTTCGTGGGACTTGGCTTTCTGGATGTGGCTTTTGAAAGCAACAGGATTAGTACTGTAGACTCTTGGAGCAGCGGAGTGCAGGGAGGCAGGAAAACATCCATGGCCTTGCTTTTGACTCTGCCAGCACCAGAACCCTATAAACATGGGCTGTTTACAGACGATGCTGCCACAGAGGTGAGGCAGCAGCTAGTGCAGGACAGGTCCTCACAGTAACATCAGACATGGCCTCTCTCTTCCTGTCTCCCATATATGACCAACCATGGGGTTTTTTCCTCTGGTGTCTGTCCGCTTCAGTTTCACCCCATCTCTGTTCTTCCTTTTCCCTGGGCTCGAACAGTGCAGCCTTAGCTTCTCGTGTGTGTGTTTGGAAGTGGGTAGGCAAAAATTGAACCCTATACTTGTGACCCCTTGAATAACTTGTGGGGTCAGAATATTCAGTATGAGTAGAGTTTGCACGCACTTGTCAGACCAGATGAATATTGCTCAAAACTGGCTTAAAAAATGGCTGATCACTGCTGTCAGGAACAGAGATATACTTCGACTTCTTAGCTGTGCCATCTGTAGCCTGATAATGTTATATTGGCATCAACAGGAATGGTCATCCTTGTACTTGTCTTTGTAATCAGTACCATTGGGGAATATTGGTACTTGCCTCTGTGCTGAATTCGTCTGCGGCTCTCATTGGTGTCAACCCTTCTCTAGGAGGTGGTCTGCCTGGGACAATTTCTTTTTTTCATCCCTGACAGATATATTTGTTTCTTTTCAGATGAAAAGCCGACCCTTGTTCAAGATACTTACTTACTTTGTCCTGCACCAGTGATAGAAGATGCTGGACAGTAAGTATTACTTTCCAGCACGTGTCAAGAGAGGAGACCTCTGGATGAGGATGTCATTACTGAGCTACGGGCCCAGAATTTTGCCCGAAGTGCCAAGCTAATGAATTTTTGTGTGTGTTTGTGTGGCAGGATTACCTCCATCCTCTTTGTGCTAAGTCCTCTCCTAATATGAGCCAGCATAGCTCTATTCAATGTTGAATCTTTAGCACAGCTTAACTCAAGGCCTTGTTGGACCATGGTCCCATATCATAGAATGGTGATTTCTACTCTGTTCCTATATCCTGTTTTTTCAGACCAAAAGGTAATTGAATTCCAGGCAAACTCTTAATTTTGATTGAAAAGAGATGCTTGATTTTAATTCCTTTGCTGCTGTTGTAGATGTTGCTTCCTGTATTTTGCCCTGCTCTGGCTAGTTTTGGTGTTTTTCAGCTGTTGTAATTCTGCAGGCTCCTGGGAGACATGGCACAAGGCCCTACCTTGCCCCTGGGTGATCTTGTGGGTGCTTAAATACTGTATTGGGGGTGAAGGGGAATGCTTCCCTCCCCTTTCCTATTTGTGGGTGAGGGAAAGTTGTTTGATTTTTTTTTTTTGGTGGGTTTTTTGTTTGGTTGTGGTTTTGGTGTTTTGGTTTTGGTTTTTGGTTTTTTTTTCTTTCAACCCTTTCTCTGATATTGGAGAATGGCTAGGGCCAGATTCTTCTTTAATTTCATTGTTATTTCAGTGTTTTTACCCCTTGACCTCAGTGCAGCTATCCTGGATTTACTTGGATATAAAAGAAAACACATTCTGGCTCTTTAAGCTGCAGAAGGATTTTAAAAAAAGAAAGCCTTAAAGTTTCTTGTGCTATCTAGGGTAGTATTCCAAATGTCTGAGACTTTGTCATGACTCACTGTCCTAGTGCCCTTTGCCCCAGGTGGGATGGAGGTTTTTTAATAAAGAGCATATGCCCCAACTCAATTAAGCCAACCTAATAAGGGTAGCTCCTGGGCAAGCAGAGACACAAATGCAGGTAAGCACCTGAAGCCATGAACATGCCTTGACTCAGCAGGATGTTTTATCCATGCGTGTTCATGAGCCAATGGCTAAAACACAGCCAGAATAAAAGGAACAATGGGTATAAAGATGACACTAAAAATAAGTGTATCTGTTTTGTGCTTTAGGGTGGTTTTCCTACAAGTCAGCATGAACAACGGGCTAACATTCATCTCCAGCTCTGTCAGCATCACCAGCACACAGTGTGTAAGTAATTGCAATGGGGCTTGACAGAGGAATCATGTGAATCTTGGAAAGAGACGGTGGCTCTTCAGGCAAAGCCTCCTTGAGTGAGCATGAGCTCTCTACAGCTTCTGCATCATGGTTATTGACTGGATCCCAGCAGTTCTTTGAAAAATAACCAGGGCTAGTTAAAATTAAATTGTTATTGATGATGATTATGATGGATTTACTGAATAAAAAATTACAACAAAAGGCACGCTGCCCATTCCTATCCCAACAGAGATCCTCAAAACTAGGATCTGATGAGAAGGGAATCTGGGCAAAATGAGGGAAAAGGAGCATCAGGAAGCAACACCCTGTTGAGCTTTGGGGATTCCTTATGGGATCTGGGGTGAAAGGTGCAACTTCCAGGACTTGGATCTGGAGGGGCTACAGCATGGAAGGTCCTCTAGATTTACATGCTTATTTTTTGGTTGGAGCTTACAGTATTTGTTTTTAGACCACCACAATTTGCCTTTACTAGTTCAGGATTCGCTAGGGTGTTTTTACAGTTGTAGTGGCAGGAGCTGCTTGCTTTTCTCTTGGCATCACAGGGAATGACCAGAAAGAGATAGCAGCATCGGATCCTGGGATGAGCTTCTTTACAAAAGGCTGCTGCTCAGCCCAGCCGAGGGAGAATGTGCTGCTGTGGGACAGCGATGGCTGTGAAATGAGCATCTCCTGGTCAAAAAGACCACCTACTTCCAGGTGGAGTGTCAGGGACCAACAGCTAGAAGTGATCCTTCATCAAAATCTGTTTTAGAATCAATCAAAATGAAGAAGCTGACTACTAGATAAGTAGTCTTCTTCCTTGCCTTGGAGTAAAAATAGGCAACTCATAGCTGGTGCAAGCAAGTATGGTAGCGAAAGATTTAGCCTTGTGCTTGTGGACTAAACAAAGTTTGAAGTACCTGATAGCAAACATGTATCAAAGTTGAACTTTATTAGTGTCAAAATGACTTTTTAGCCTATGCCAAATGCTGTCATACTGGTTTGTAATCGTTGCTGGCCTTTTTGACAGCTGCAGAACAGAAGGGCAGGAGTGAAGATAGAGGCAGTGCCTGTAACTTGCAAATCTGATTTTCTGATGTTTTCAGCAATGAAGCTGGGAAATCTCACACTAGATTGTTGGAACAGTCTGGGGTGCAGGGACTCAGAATTTAGCAGAGATGTGTTTCCTGCTTCACCTGATTATTTTTATTTTTCCAAAACTTTCCCTCAAATCATCTGCATTGAAGACTGATATTTTCACATTTTATTTCTCTCTTCTACTTCAGGTATGATAAAACCTTTTGAATCTACAGTGAAACACAAGTGTTAACTGGTGCATTTAGTTACCCATATGGAGTTTATTTCTGATGAAGACTGAAGTCTTAGCCCTAGCTGGCTTCCTACAGGCCACAACATGGATGGAGGAAGCTTTCTTCTCAGTAGCCTTAGGATAAAGCGAGGAATCCAATCTCCAGTCCTGTCAATCTGACAATTTTTGACCAGCCTCTTGCAGATTGAATGTGAAGGAGGCAGGGAGCCTGATTTTCAGCTGGTATATAAAAAAAACTGTCTCATTCCAGTTACATCCCATAAGCAGGGAGGTTGGCAGATCAGTTTCTAACTTTGTCTTAATTTCATGCATTTCACTCTTCTCATTTTAGAGACTCCCTCCATTTCCTTTCCTCTCCTGTTTCCTTTTCTGTGGGTGGCAGTCAGCTGGCCTGCTCAGCTCTCCTCCCCAGCTGGCTCTTCTGTCCTTTCTGTACAGTAAGTATCTTCTCTTCACTTTACCCCTAAAGCCTGTGCGCTCCCTGTGCTTATTTCTGTTCAGCTGCATGAAGTCTGCTATTTCCTTTTTGAAGTCCAGCTTCACTATGATGCTTTGTGTATTTAATCATTAAAAGAAGACTCTCTAACTTCTTGCTGCCAGCAGCTCCTGAGCTGCTGATGGTGAATGTCTTGGTGATTTATATGAGGAGGTAACATGTGTTTGGAGTAACAGTAGCAGTGGTATGTGCATCTGGCTCATGCACTGCATTGTTGCTGTGCTTGGATTTCTTCTTAAGATGTGCAGCAGTACCTCTTAGTTATGCTTGACTGTTACTCACCCTTTTCTCAGCAAACTGACTTTGCGGGGAATTTATGCCAGCCAAGTGTCTGCTTTCCAGATGCATTAGCGCTACATGGAGCCATAGGAGGGCCAGAGAGAGGGGCTGCAGCTCTGAACTGCAGCTGAGTAATGTGTCTTCTGACAGGACTCCTTTGAGCTTGGAACAGTGAAGGGAACTCCTGTTGTAAGAAGGGGCTAAGCATCAGTTTCTGGTGTCATGGGAATTCAGCAAGTAGTTTGATTTAATAAGGTGAATCTCATGGACTTTCCAAAGATGATTTATGGAGGATAATTTGCTTTCTTTCCATTTATCTTCCCACCTATCCTTCTTTGAAAATCTCTTACCGCTTCCCCTCTAGCCAGCTCCTACTCCCTCAGCCTGATTCACAGATCTTTCTTCAAGCTCTTTTCACATCTTCCTAGTCCCAGGCTCTCCTAGTTTGCTGTCAAGTTTTGCCTATTCTCTGGTACCTCTGCTGCTGGTGAATTGAACCTCTTCTCAAACTCAGAAAATCCACCGTTGAAGGGGTTTCTTTTCCCAGTATAAAAGAAATGGCTGGAGCACCAGAGCTAATCTTAACCTCATCCCAGAGCTCAGTGCAGTTTAAGGAAATGGCATGTTCCAGCATGCCACTGCCCATCCACAACAAATGTTTAATTTCCAAAAAGCCACATGCTCTGTATGTTCTGCAGGGGCCAAGCAGCATATGAAGACCTGCTTTCCTGTAGTCATCAGAGCAATACACAGAGTTAATACCTCTTCTGAACACACTGACATGAAATCTTCCAAGTGCAAAGAATTCAAGATTTACCCAGGAAATTCAGAGCTGTGATTCTCTTCGGTTGTCTGGCTGCTCTGAAAAGCTGATTTCAAGTGTTAACTTGGATTGATTTTTGGATTCTAGTCATTTTGAAGAAAATTTAACTTTAATTTTGAATGTAGACCCTTAACTATCCAGCCCCAGTGTCCCACCGTTCTTTGCAGATAAATAGATGGAATATAAGACTCAGAAATGCTTAAGATCATGATTACAGCATCTCATCAAAAATAGTCAAACCAGCCCTAGGAAGCATACCAAGAACCAGCAGCATTAAGGACTAGTTTGCATAATCACTCAGGCTGGGGGTTGTGTGTGCAGTTTGAGCCAAGAGGCAATACAGGCAGGCTTGGGAGATGGTGAGACTGAGTGAGTAAGTTGTGTTCTGGTCTGTAATGATGATGTGCAAACAGTTACCCATAAGCTCTTAACTCCAATATTCCCATTCTTTGAATATCAGCAGTTGCGTATTTTGCATTTCTAGTGATGAAGGGTTACTCTGCACACCTGAGAGTGTAGTCATGTAGTTTGCAGTGCCCCTCTGACAGTATTAAGGGACTTGCCAGCACAAATTTTGAATGGATTGTATACAAGTTTAATACCCTTGAATCTAGTGGGCTATAAACATAACATAAATTTAGATATAAATTATATATATATACACATCACAAACAGGAGGTGCTTTCGTGAATCATGACTTCAAATACAGATTTGTCACACCAGATACTGATGTGACCCTAATGATAAGTGATTGACTGCATAATCTACCTGAGACCTCGTAGTGAGGGAAACCTGCTTCACTTTGCCAAGTCTATATGTGTAACTTCAGGGCTCCTGCCTTGTTTGTGACATGCACAGATAATTCTGAAGTAATCATCTTGTTTGCAGCTGACTGGGACCGTCCTTTTTATTGCTCTCCTGATTCTGTTTCTGCTGCTGGCTCTGGCTCTTCTGTGGTGGTTTTGGCCCCTTTGCTGCACGGTGGTAAGTTCAGGTTTTTATTCTTTGGACTTGGTTTCATCTCAGCACAGAGTTGAAGTGTTGGAGTGGGTGGTTAATGTTTAAGAAGAATGCTGTCAGGTTTGTAAGGCCCTGATTTAACAAATTGCATAAAGTGCTTTTGAAGTCCTTCTGGTCTGAGTTTTTGAATGTGGCAAGACCCTATGTGACTTTGACACTGAGAAGTTTAAGTGAACTCATGGACATGGCCCAAGTTCCTGCAGGGATGGAGATCTCCTCAGAACAAGATTTGAAACCTGCTGCAGAAGAATGTGATGGAACTGATTTACTAATATGTGCATAAGCTGCTGTGGTCCTGTTTAGAAAGCCTAACTCCTGTTAGAGTTAGGCTTTCTTTTTATTTTATTCAGAGGAGCTATAGATTCTGAGTGAATATTTTGCACTAGCTTGGTAATATGACATTTTTAAGGCAGCTCCAGAATACGGAGCTGTATTAAGAGTTACTTCTTGACTAATAAGATAGTTCAATGTGATGGATTTTAGCTTCTAATCCGCATTTATTTTATCCTTGCTGAAAAGCAATGGGGCTAATGAGGGGATTGAATGTGGGGGAATGGAGCAGGGCAACCCATCTATGATATGAGCAAGAAAGCAGAAAGGACATAGCATTGAGATAGATGAAACTTACCATTATCTCAGATTTCTCTCATTGCTTATATATTCCAGGTGATCAAGGAGCCGCCGCCGCCACCACCTCCAGAGCCTGTAAGTACGCTACTTTTAAGCTGCAGCCACTGCAGTGTATTGGGCTGCCCTGGAATGTCAGCTCCGTAGGTGTCTTAATGACAGCTTGAAGGCTGTGAGAGGAAGTCTCTTGGGTCAGGACAGTTATTTCTCCTTTTTAGCCTCTTAATATACATACAGCAAGATTATATCCATCTACAGTGAAAATAATTGCTTAACTTAGAAATCCACAGACCAGCAGTTCCTATGATTATTTTTCCTTCTGCTGCACATCAAACAGGTGTGTAAGCAAATCTTCGCTTCTCAAGCTGTGCTGAAAGCTGTCGATCCTCCAGTAAAGCTGCTGTTGCTCTCAGCAGGAGTTTAGCCCAGATTGGCAGTAAGGAACAAAGTCTGCCAGCTGGAAGAAAGGACAGCGAAGGCCGCATTCTTGTGGCTTTGCTACAGGAGAGGGAGACGAGAGCCTGCCCTGGCTGTGGCTCTGCTGCAGAGTGACCTTTGGAAGGACATTTAGCCTGTCTCCACTTAGGCTGTGAGCTGTTTGACGCAGGATTGTATGTAGCTCTTTTTGGGACAGTAACATGCTGACCCTGACCTCAGCTTAGATTCACTGTACTAATTTAATGAAAGTAATAGTAATGAATAAAAGTACCTCCAGAGAAAACTCATGCCTGCCTTTATTTCTTTCCTAGGCATAGGCAGTTAAATGATGGAAAAATACTTGCCTAACCCACAAAAGAAGCTTACAGTTTGCTGCTAACTTGCTGTAACTTGGCATGAATATCAGGAGGCAACCACAGCTGCTGTTTTGAGGTTGCCAGAGGCCACCATTACTGTGTATGTGACCCTGTTGCTTGTCCTGGGCAGCAGCACTGTGACAATTTAACTTTAGAATACACACCAAAAATCATGCTGGTTTTAGGGTGATTAGTGTTGTCATGAAGCATGCAACTGCAACCATGCTGTGTTTGAAGGAGGCTTCTGAGAGCATTGCAACCCTGCAGCAGAGTTCCTAATTGCTTTGTGATTATTCTGATCAGCAGAGATTTTAAATACAATCAAAGAGACTGGGAGCTGATGTAAGCCTCCAGGAATAATACAGAGTACAGATGTTATCCATCCCTTTACGTTGCCTTGTCTTTATGCGGTGTGGATTGTTGTTGCGTTAAACTTAGCACTAGCATCCCTAGGTATGGTGACCTGCCTTTTAGCTGATGTAGTCTGATACGGCTGCTATTAAACTGAATAGTTATCTAAAACTAGTTCTAAACCACAAATGTTAGATTTCTATTACTTTTTAATACATATGTGGTAGCTGTTGATGTTGCTTTACTATGTGTTCAGTGTAGGGGGTATTTGGTATAAATCTTTTATCAGCTGGAAAAGTATCAGCCATCACTATTAACTGTGTCCTGCTACTGCCAGGCTTCCCAACAATAAGAGTTGTTAGACTTGAAGACTTGAAATCTGTCATATCCCATGGAAGAGGCAGGATATTTTATAGTACTCAAGTTCACAATGAAATCAAATATAAATTAATTCAAACTGCTGATGTTGCTCACTGGGTACTGTTTTAGATGTGGCATGAAATGGGATAAAATGTGTGTGTGTTATACTCTTAAAAAACGTAAAACAACAGAACTGAACACCAAACCACAGTGCCTTCCTTATATGTTTATTTTCCTGATTTAGGATAAAAACAAAACAGAAAAAAAAAAACCCAACCAAAAACCCAAACCAAATCCCTTTACTAGTTAATGGAAATGTCAACTCTAGTCTGGCCATACTAAAGAATTTGTTGGAGGTACTGAACCATAGCTGAGAGATCAGATGTCACTGAATAAATGATGGGAATACCTTTCTCCAAGACATAACGTAAAAGTTAAATATGAACAAACAAAAATTAAGGCATGTTTTTTAAAAGCTATTATTGGCTCTTGTATTCTCAATTCCTTTTACATTCCAATAGAAACATATAGGGCAATTCTGAGCAAATATCACCTAGTAATCTGACAATAATTTGTGTCCTTCTCTAGTATTTGGATTTCACTTGATATTTTTTTATTTTATTTTTTTAGTAAAAACTAAGTTTGGGCAGTGTTTCTAGAAATATACTTGTACGGATGAAAGTTAGCAGAGAGTACTGTGCGTGGCCAGTCCAAGAGCAGCACGCGCATCTGCATATCAGCAGAGGTGTAGTTATCTGTCTTTTAATAAAGAGTGTGAGGAATGAAGATGGCACTGTAGGAGGCTTGTGGGCCCTTTCCTTAATTATGTGTTGTCACGGTGTGACTTTCAGTTGTCTGAACTCAGCATAATGATAGGGAGTCTGAGAAGTCCCAATGACTTCTACCGGCTCGCACTGATAGAGCTGGAGATGTGTTCCCAGGGTTGTCAAACCAGAAACGTTTGCCAGTTTGGTTTTTTTTAGTTAAGCAAGAACAGAACAATGAACCTGAAATGAAACCCTGATTCAGATTCTCCTACTTTCCAGAAAAATAATCTGCAGTCTTTATAATTTCAGGTTAAAAACTCTGGATCTGAGCTTCCTGACGATTTGGAGATGCTCCAGTCTGAGTCCTGGTTCCAAACTGTACAGCTTGAGCCAGACTCTACAAAGAATCAAGCAGCGTAGAATAACTGGTTACAGCTGCCATGAGAAAAGGGTCAGATGCACATGTTGGAAAACTCACAGTGGTAGCTTTTTTCCCCTGTTAGGTGACATTAAGTTCTAAAAAGCGCAATTAATAAATGATTTCTTTGGGCTAACTGATTGCTGCATTTTCTGCATAGCATAGTGGCAAGCCAGTATAATGTACGATTCATCTCCACTTTGCCTTCCCTTACAAGTCAGTTGTGATTTTGAAGCTCAATGCATATTTGACTAAATAAAAGCTGCCTGGAGAGAGGAATAGGCAATGCTCTTTGGCTTTCCTAGTTAAAATTGCAGCTGCAGAGACAAGAGACTTTTTTGTTTTTTTGTCAGCAAGTAAGTATTACACACAAAGCCAGATATCCAAGGATTGGACCATAGGATGTTCAGTTGTTTTCCATAGTTTATGCTGTTTATGTGACAACAGCAATATCATCTCCCTGTCTTTCCCATAGGAATCAGATGATGAAGACGGATTGCCAAAGAAAAAGTGGCCAACCGTGGACGCATCTTATTATGGAGGTCGAGGTGTTGGTGGGATTAAGAGGATGGAGGTATTTGGCTTGTTCTTTAGTGTTGTAAAAATCAGCACATTTAATTATAAATAGTAGCAATATATTTTTATGTGACTTTTAAAAAAATGACCCTGATGGAGAGACTGGGATTTAATCAGGGCTTGTCCACCCGATTGCACTTGCTGTCCACGTCACAGACATCAAGCTACCATTATTTGCATGAATAATTAAACAAATCCAGCATTGAGCCAGAAAAAATTTGCAGGTTAAGAAATAGGATGAGCACCAAAAGAAATTTTAATTTACTGAATCAAACCCTTCAGTGCAGTTGCGTCCAGTTCTCTTGTCTCAAGCAGAGTTACGCTGGGTTTGAGTATTTGAGGGCACCATCTATACTGTGGCTGGCTGGCCAGAAGCAATTGGTTTGGTTAATTTAAACCAGTGATTTTTCTTTTTTGTCTTTTTTTTCTTTTGTGTTTGTTTGGTTTTGTTTTGGGGTTTTTTCAGTTAAGCAATAATTCCTAATGCACAAAACCACATCCTTGTTGAAATTGGGCAATGAATCAATCCTGCCCTGGGATTCACGCATAAGCTAGTCTTGATGTGTAAAGTGAAGTGTTACTGTGAAAGAAATTTGCCTTGTGCTGTCCTATGGCATGTATGTTCCAGGGAGTTAGCAGATAATGCTGTGATTGGCTGCTAACTCATGTAAATGACCATGTTAGTGAAATCAATTCAATATTCCTAATCATGGATAGTATAAGGCAGGGAATTGTCACTCACTGGTATCAGCTGATGGCCTAATGATGACTTTTAGAGATGTCACACCAGAAACTCCCACTAGATCTAATTGGTAGCTGAGGGTCTAGACCAAACTAGGGCTCACAGAATGAAAGCAATGGCTTCTCAGCAAGTCCTTGCAAGTCTAAGATGAAACTTCAGCTGCAATATCCTTAACTATTTTCCTTGGAAGAATTTTATCCTTGATGCTGAGTAACCCTATGGATCATATATTGCCCTTGAATCCAGGGTCACATTTCTGTTTGAAGCAAGTGAGACAACAAAATCAGAGTTTCAGCTTGAAAGAAGTAGTGTATAGTATGTGAAGATAAGGTTACTGACTTCTCTTGTGACTGTGCAAGGTCATCTTTGGAAGAGCTGGTTTTAGTAGTAACTGCACCAGTTTGAGGGCTGATGCTCTTAAACCATTCACATACTTGTCCACTGACCCTTTTTTTACAAACTGAACAATAGGAGCTGCTTAGGGTGGCTAGCTGTAAAGACTGCATGCCTTCAGCTGGTGCTGCTGCCTGCTTTTTGCATGAGGCAATGGGAAGTGTATTACACCTGTGTCCTAGCAGAGCTGGGCAGAGTGCTTCAGATTTCACCTGGAAATGGGTTAATTTGCCCTGGATGCTCTGATTCCCACAACACCTTAGGTTACTGGAAGGTGCAAAGATTAGTAGTTCAAACAGCTTTTGAGTGAGACTGTTTGACTCTTGAAATGTGTATTTCTGGTTACAGTGGGAGTTCAATGCCTTCATAAATTTGGCTTCATGTTTGGTGGTAGCATTGGGCCATCTGATGCGAACTTGATTATTGTCTGTGAACCCACCTGCTGGTGGGAACTGCTGAAGTGTCTCTACTTACAGTGTGCTCTCCTGACTTCAGGTGCGATGGGGAGACAAGGGCTCAACAGAGGAAGGAGCAAAATTGGAGAAGCCCAAAAATGCTATTATTAAGTTGCCTGAACAGGAGTATGAGCCATGGGAACCCAAGCCGAAAAAGCCCCATGTGAGAAAACCACCTTCCCAGCAGAAATGGTATACTCCGATCAAGGTAATGGCTGCCTTGCAGTTTTATCGAGTCTTTTATGTCATGCATGTTACTACATCCCACTTCCTTAGCACAGCCTTTCTTATGGCAGAGCTGGGAGATCCTATTTAGAAAAATGGCCGGTAACCCTCAACTTTGCCCGTTTCTGGGAATGTGCGTTTCACCTGGCACTGTGTTGCCATAGTTTCTTGAGGAAGAGTGGAGGGTGTTGGAGGGCATGAGCAGAGATCTCCAATCCCTCTGCTCTCACCTTTTCAGGTACTTTTGCGTAGCCTGGATTGCTACAGTGGATATCTCAACCCTTAGGGACAGCAGAAGCTGGTTCGTGCTATCTCAAAGCAGCATACAAAGAGGAACAGATAAAGTGTACAGTCCTTGTGCTTCGACTGCACGGTGGCTTGGGTTGGGATTCAGCTCTGTTCCCCTCTAGTTCAGCCACAAGACGTAGTATTTGATTTTGGGCGAGTCGCTCAGTCTCTCCAGACTTTCATCCCCATTTCTCCTGTGTCATTATAGTATCTGGTGTCTCCCTGTCTTTTAAAGTATGTATCCTCACACAACCCTTGAGGCAGGGCAGAGCTGTTATCTCTGCTTACAGACAAGGAAGCTGGAGGGCTAGCACAGGCCAAGGGAGCAGCATACCATGCTCATCCCAAAAATCTGTGGCCATGTCCCAAGCCAGTGCTTTGTGGGATGAGGTTCCCTCTCCCCACCATGCTTACAGATGAGTTTAACAGTGCTTGAAGTTATCGTCTGGAAAGTACCTGTGAATTTTAAAGCTTGCTGAGGTAGTAGGTAGTCTTGTGGCTGTTTATCCATGTTCCAGCTCACCTCCCATCAGTACAGTACTTCTGTTGTTCTGTCTTCTGTTAACATCATACCTGTCTAATTCTAATTATGACTCTTAGGGAAGTTCACATTAAACTACAGTCATTCTCAGTGTGTTTCGAGCAGGCTGAATTTGGCCTATTGCATATTGGGTACGTATTTACCCCATTGAGGCCTCTCTTCTGGTTGTCCAGATAAGCAGTATAAAGAGGGCAACAGTACAGGAGCAATGTTTGCGCAGACAGTTTAATACAGAAAGGCTGGATCAACTCACCTCTGGTTTAATCTCATGCTGTTTTCACCAAATTTCTTGGTCATGTTGGGTTTTATTTTGGTGGGGTTTTTTATTTTTTTATTTTTATTCCAGGGCAAACTTGATGCACTGTGGGCTTTGGTTCGACGAGGCTATGATCAAGTCTCTCTTATGAGACCACAGCCAGGGGATAAGGTAAGATGTCACAAACACACTGGCATGTCACTTCTCTGTTAGTAGCAGCAATGCTCTTCCCTCCCAACCACCCCATCTCTTTTTTTTTTTTTTGTGAGCTTGTCTCTTTTCACATTACCTTAAGGCTACAAATTTGTCACAAGAACCAGAGATTTCAAAATAAGCTAAAATGCTTGCTGTGGCATCTACTTAAAAGTATTGCCCCAAAAGGTCAACAGCAATGTCTCCACTGTGATGCAAGTAGACTGAGGAAGAAGCTGGCCAGCCACAGTAATAATGAGACCTTTTTCAGCCATAGAAGTTCCTAGTCTTTTTTTTCTGGGCACACATGTTAAGTCAAAGGATAGGTTTTTTGTGGGTTCTGGGGGACTGTTTGTTTTGCATTTAATATGCAGTAGTCATTCTACAACAATAATTATCCTTCCTACCCAACTTTATAAAAATGCATCTCAGATTAAATAATAGAGTTAAGTGATTAATGAGAGAAATCATGAACTGGGCAGGTGATAAAGAAACAAATTATAGCAAAGTTAATGGAGAATACAGTTGCTGTAGGATTCTGTGCAAAGACATGTTTCTCGGTCATATCCTGTATGTAGGCAGAGAGTATCTCCTGTCCTGATAAAGTCTATTGGCCAAACACCAGTCAGGAGTAGATTCTTCCTGGGAGGAAGCAGAGAGTTTGTGCCCTTCAGAGCCATGGAGGTCTGTGTGCTGCCCCTGGGTCACTTGCGATAGCTTAGTTCAGAGTTCTCACAATTTCCCCGTGAGACCTGGCACCATTATGGTTATCTCTATCTTGTTACTCTAGAGGGGACAACTCCATAGGAATTGAGTGCTGCTGCTTTGAGCTGTTGCACCTTCAGATTTGGCTTTCTGCTGTGGCACTTTGAAATGTGAGGGCTGAGCAGAGATGACAGTGTCTTTCTCCCCTCTGTGGCCCTTCTCTGGTGAGAGTCCACACACTTCATCACCTTTGCTGTCGGGGAAAGGGTTTGTAGAGTTACAGCAGTAGAGGCCATGGAGTGCTTTTCTGGGCTAGGAGTGGTGCAGAGGCCCTTGTGCTGGGCTTGGTTGCCTGGGTGACTTTTACACCTAATAGCAGACTTTAAAAGTAGCCCTGGTAGGGCAAGTAAGTTGCATCCCTCTGACTTTTGGCAAAATACAGTTATGGCATTTGTCTAGTTATTTACCAAACATGCAACTTCAATATTTCAAGTTTTGTCTCTTCCATTTTCCTTTTGGTGCATAAGGAAACTAAGAACAAACTCAGTTTCCTATGTTACTTTGTAAAATGGTCTTAACTGTTTCACTAAGCTGCATTTTCCAGGCAGCTGTGCTCAAGATGCCTTATTTACTTTTTAAGCACGATCTAGAGCTTCTGAATAGGCTCTTTAGGCCCAGCTGTATTTTGATAGCACTAACATTGTATAATATGAATCTATCCTCTGCCTTTCACTCCCCTGGTTGGTACATTTCTATCAGTGCAAAGCACAACAGAGCCTCTGTTAGCCTGCATGGCCAAGAAACATGCAGGGGGCTGGCTCTGAACAGGGATCCTCAGTTCCTTGCCTTCCAGCTCTGCTGCAGGGAGGACGAGGGGCTCAAAAGAGGCAACGTAAAACAGGGCAAGCTGAAGGATTATTGTATCAGGGAGAACATTAGAAAAATCAAATGTACATCTGGGAAACAGGGTGGAAAGAATCCTATTGAGCCAGATTCTGTGGAAGAATAGCATCATCTCTGTTCCCTGGCCTGTGAAATTAACTAAAGCTGAAGAACATTGTCTAGTCATTTTCTTGTTTTGCTTTCAGCCTTCTGGTTTTTTGTGTTTTTTTTTTTAAAAAAAAGGACATCATAGGCCTGTATTTCATGGAGAAAGCTAGCACAGAAAAGAGCAAGGTTATTATATATTGTTAGGTTGACTTTTCTAGTGGAGAATTGTCTCCTTGTAAGTTAGGCTTTTGGTGGAGGGAAAGTGTATAAATATACATGTATGTACACATAAGTATAGATGTGCACTTTGGGGCTAAAGAATGGGGAGATCAAGTCAGTGCTATGAGTGACCAGCAGCGTGGAGAGCCTGGAGCTCTGGCTGTGCAGAGCTGGAGCAGCCTGGCAGCCGCAGGAGCAAGCCCGCAGCTCCGCTCGACCCAGTCACGGCAGGGACAAAGTCATTCCTGTACGGATGTGCTGACAGCAGTCAATGGATTTTGTTGGGTAGACATGAAAGTACAGCCTGACCTGTCTTGGTACATGGTGTTCTTCCACACTGTGCCATCCGGAGGCCAGTGACTGTGTGGTGATCTTGGAGAGAGGGATTGCTTTGCTTGGTGGGGTTTTGAGGGATTTGGGGGGGCGGGGGGGAGAGATCTTTGGAGGTTTTTTGTTTTCCTTTGATTTTTAAGGTAATTTCATAATTGGTTATTCAAAAAAACTCAGAAAGCAAAAGGAACATAATTTAACTGTTTTGGGTGTGGCATTTGGATTCCTATCTCTGAATTTCCTAAAATCAGTCAAATTATTATCTTTACATTTTCAGGGATTACCAGAGATATAGGTTGTTTCCTATTAGAATAAGATAACTCACTGAAGTTACATTTTTCCAAATGTCTGTTTCACAGTTTACCTCAATTAAAAAAAGTTTTAGTTTTCATTTTCAATTTTTATTTCTTCAGTTGGGCATATGTTTACTTTTTGCAGCCATTGGGGAGAAAATATAGCAAACCACTTCTTTCTGCATAATGAAAATACTAATTACAGAGAAGAGAACATCCACAGTACAGGGAGAAAAATATTTTCACATGGCTTTTGGGACAGGGGGAAGATGTCAAAGGAGAATTTTTTTAATATTAAAACATTCTTTAAAAACTCTTTTGAAAACTAACTTCTTTCATTTGAAAATGAGTGCTCTGGTTTGGGAGCTCCCCCCCCCCCCCCCAAAAAAAATCTGAAAAATACTTGTAGAAAATCTTTCTATGATAGTTTTGTTGGAAAACAATATGTTAATGCTTTTGGTGTATTCACCAATTTTATCTGGTTTTGTCACAGAGAACCAGAAGTCTGTTAGACATTTTTTTCGAACTGTTCAGCATCATCTCCCACAACACAGCCCTCTTCTCTTTGGCTCTGCAAACCATACAGCAAAGGCAGTATTGCCACCTCAGGCTTTCAAATCATGACTCCTCCCCAACTCCCATAATAAAGTGCAGTTAAAAATGGCATTGTTTGTCATTTTTTGAGTCTTCATGTGGTGAAGCCCATTCCAGAGTGAGGGCGCCTTGCAGCAGAAATTCAGGCTGAAGCATGTGTGCAGGAATATCTGGCTGACTGCTGCAAGGGACTTTCTGTTGTCCTTTGCTCTGGGTGGCCAGGACTGTTGTCTGTCTATCCATCCTCAGTTCTTCCTTTATCATGATCCTGTTGCCTTTCCCAAACCACCTGCTCTTTTCCTTACCTGTTGTTCCCCTTGGACTCCTGTCCTAGACATTCCCTTTCATTTCCTTCTGTGGTTTCTTCCTCTCCTTGCTGTCTCTCTTAGTCCTTGCCTCCCTGCACTGCCCTTTGAGACAGACTGGTGCCCTGCAGTCCCCTGGCAGCAATGGGCTGGTGACCAGCCTCCTTTGCCTGTTCCTCTCACGCTGCAGGACCTGAGCTGCTGGTAGAAGCATGTCCTGGGTTACAGCCTTGCTGCAGAACTGGCTGAGGCCCCTGAGTGCTCCTCTGCCCTGGCTCATGCCTTTCACAGACTTACCAAGAAAAGGATCTCAGGATGGATGACCCACCAGTATTAGGCAGGCTTGTATTAATAGGACTGGCTGTGAAAATCACAGGCACTTTTCAGAACTGCCTATTTAAAGAAAACCAGGCAAGCACAAGATCTGATGCCCCTTCTGGGAGCTTTGCCCATGGTGTTTGGCTTGGCTCTGCAGACAGCTCCTCCTCTTGGTCTCCATTCAAGATCATGTCATGGTACCACTGCCGAAATTGGTTATTAGTTTGGCAAGTACCTCAGTAAAGGGTCACAGGACGCTGCTCACTCAACTTCTGCAGGTCAGCCCTAGCAGGACCTTCTATTGCACCAGGATGGGACAGCAAGGGATAAACACACTTAGCTCTACCCCATCATTAGCAGATAGGCTGCTATTTGTGGGATGGCTTTTTGCTGAGCTCTCAGACAACATCAGCAGAGGAGCGAAGAGATGAAAAAGAGCTAGCGTCTCTGCTGCAGATTGCTGGGCTTTGTTCCTTGCAGTAATGTACAAAGGTGAAGCTTTCATTGGCAGACATTTGTGTTACTGCTGCAGTGATGGATCCCTTACAGCTAGGCTGCTATTCTTCCCTTCCTCCCCCAGAAATTTGGGGCTTAGGGGACCAGCAGTCACTCAGCCCAAGAAAGGATTGACAGCTCTGAAGCAAGGGCACTGTTCATCTAGCAACAGGGAGCATGTCAGAATGGCCGCATGGCCTGGTGAGCTACCTGTTGCTCAAGATACTCAGGCTGCCTTGAGGACTTCCCCATCATTATGTTGGTGTCCTCCTGAGCTTGCACGGGGCTGCTATGAAGACTGGAGTTTGGGAAATATTAATGTCTGGCTATCTTGAAGTATCTCATAGAAACCACAGTAGCTGGTGGGACAGGTTGTCAGTAGTCTGAAAAAAGGAACTTTCAAGCTCTTCCCCTTGGCCTCATGGATCAAAAGTCAGGCTGTTACCAATGCCAGCAAGTAAACATTAAAAGCCCCAGTATGTGCAAAGAGGAAGGTGAGATGCTTCTTTCAAATAGTCAGCTTAGTTGCTGCTTTCAGCAAATCCATTCCATTTTGCATTTCAGCACATACTGTCACAGGAAATTCTCAGAGGATTGGTTTACCGAAAACCTCAACTAAAAAAAAGACATTTTTACCCAGGCAGAATTGTTCTTGTTTACTTTAAAGCTTTAGAAAATTATCTCATTTTTGTCACTGAAAATTACCTGCAACAGAGAGTGAGTGTAGACT